CTTCATCGGAAACTCTCCGACACAGATCCAGTTTGAGTAAATTTATTATCAAGGTTCAAAACATACTTAAGCGAAATTATCTTCCCCGAATGTCCACCTAGTCTACAAGGTGATATTTTTTTTGACGTTTTATAGGTTTTCTACATAATACGCTTGGCGGTTTTATCGTCCTGAGATTTGCTTAAGGCCTTTCATCGCACGTATCATATCTGTTTATCATAGGTTACTTGTTGACGATTCTTAGATATTATAACTAAGCATATAAATAAATGGTAATGCTTTAAGATGCTGCATCTAGATATAAGGTCAGCATCTTCTTACATAATCCTAAAAGGAATGCAGAAATTGACAATGATGTTACATAAAAAACTCTTTCAGTCGTAAAAGGATTACTAGCATAGTACTTGAATATACTGGCAATCTTATAGATGCTGATATAGCGTTACAGTCATTTTGACATAACATCTATAAGTAATAAATATTAAATAACAAATTACAGATACTTCTGTGAATGATTTATGTAAACGCCACCTTAGTATTATAATTTATGAAATTAGCAAAACTGACTCTATCCTCATTTGACCACAGGCTAAATGATACAATCATCATTCTGTACAGTCACTGATGCCCCATGATTTTTCACCTACGTAGCAATTACCGCTGATATAATAGTACGGTCAATTTATTTTCATTTTTAGTTCCACTTGGAGACTAATATAATTTCTTATTCTTATTTCAGCTGGTCATAGATATAATTTTGTATCAATTTCTGGTGCAGTGAACATTTATGCCTCTCTCTGTCTTGAGGAAATTTAGATCTCCTAAGATCAAAGCTTCCAAGAGCGCTATTGTTCCACTAGCGCTCTGACTGGTTAAAACTGGTTTTTGTTTTGTATAATCAAGATAATGCTAGCATGATAGTGTTAAGTACTACCCTAAGACACGAGGCGCCGATTTGGTAGAGGACACTTGTCTTGAATGGAACTGTCAATCAGAGATGCAAGGAAAATGCTTAGTTCCCTGCTGTTGATGTAGAGGTTGGTAGTGCGTTTATCAAACTACATAGGTCGCAGTATCGTAGATTCGCATACTACAGTGATGAGTTTTTCAGTAAGCCTCTTTTCGCTTGTTTATAACAAGATCTGTACAGTACTGATATGTGCTAAAGTGCAGGACACAATGTTGTATACTGTTGGTTATGGCCACAGAGAAGGAAAATAAGCAGATCCGATTCAGCCGACAAATATAGTTAAGTTTTTGGTCTTTAACACGCTAAAGACTAGCGCTAAGTTTTTGAAATTTGCTTCAGCACCAAAGTATTTTAATTACCAAGAACCGAAGCTACTAAACGCCACACTTAAATATATAACATCTGTGTCGCTGTGCAGAAAGCAGAGTGTGCACCTAAATGATGCACAAGGTCGTTGACGTGTTAAGTCCCGATTTCACTGTTAGTCCGCGACTCATGAGATGGTGTTTTCGAAGTAATGGATGTAATGATATGGTCCATTATTTGTAAAGTGTCTCTCCAAACTAGAGAAAAATTATACGATTCGTATAAGAAGGGTCCGTATCAAATCTAGAAGCGCTTCATACAGGGTGTAAACGTTATGATCGTCATTATTTAAACGGGTGATAGAGGGGATTAAAAGAAGCAAAAAGTTTCATACAACATTAGGGTCAAATTGGCATTTTTTTTAGAGAAAAGCGACTTCAAAGTAAAATAAATCTGACAATACCGCAAAACTATGCTGTAACCGTTTGCGATCGATTGCCGGTTCGATAAGAGTGATCATTACCGACGCGCTGTTGTCAAGTGTGTTTTAAATATTCAATTTAATGAAACTTACTTTCTTACTGACTACAAATTTTGGTTTAACTTAGAAAAACTTAATGCCATTTATTTGTTAATTACCCAATTTAAAAATGTTTTAGATTAGATTATAAAAATTTGTAAGATTGTGGTGATTGTGGACGATATAAAGCACTTAAAGTTGTACACTATAGAGCCATTTAGACAAAAATCTATTGACTTTTGGACCATGGGTCATATGAACTTTTTGACTTGTTTTGACCCCCCTATTACCCATTTCAATAATGACTACCATAACGCTTACACCCTGTATATCACCTGGTTTAGCTACAAAAACTTGTCACAATAATGCCGCTCACACCACCTGCCGACACCGTGGCAAAATAGAGTTAAAAATGAAGTCGTCGTCTCACCGCCTTTACTGGACTATATTGCGACGCTAACGGGAACAGAGTCTTGAAGACACTCCCGAGGAGAGCGATAATGGCAATCAACAACATTGTCAACGCCATACTGAGACACCGATACTTTCCAGAACACTGGAAAGTAGCCGAAGTGATCAACATACCAAAACCTGGGAAAGACCCAAGGTTTCCCCAAAACTACAGACCCATAAGCCTGTTGACGGCACTGAGCAAGATTGCGGAAAGGCTAATCGAACGAAGACTGAGGAACAAAACTGAAGAACTCCGAGTAGTTCCAGACGAACTGTTCGGATTCCGAAGCGAACATTCAGCAGAGCACCAGGTCCTAGGCTGGTCGAGATGGCAACGAAATCGTTCCAGACTCGGCGGGCAGTGGGGGCTGTGTTCATGGATGCCGCTAAGGCGTTCGACACTGTTTGGCATGACGGACTGATCTACAAGATGGTAGACCTCGGATACTCAACGGAGATGATCCAACTGCTGAAGTCCTATTCGAAGCACCGTAAATTCCGAATTAGGATTGGTAAAGCAACTTCTACGACGAGGACTGTGGAGGCAGGAGTACCGCAGGGAGCGGTTCTATCAACTCTGCTGTATGCAATCTACAGTTCAGACATCCCGAAGACTCCACAAACGCAACTGTATGTGTATGCGGACGATACAGCTTATGCGGCAGAAAGTGCGAGACCCCGCATGGTTACGGAATATCGACAACGAGCGACTACCAACCTAGAGGAATGCTGCATCAAGTGGAAGATCCGGCTCAACCCTGAGAAGACCTAAGCGATACTGTTCAGAAGAAATCGAATTACCTCTAACCAAAATAAAGATGACGACCACCAGAATGGAGAGAGGCTGGGGAAGAGACGAAGAAGTTGAGGTCGACTAGAAGGACTCCAGCACGTACCTTGGAGTCAAGATGGACCAAAAACTCTCTTGGAAGAACCATGTCGAGGGCCAGGTGCAGAAAGTGAAGATGGCACGCTCAAAACTAAGACCCTTAATAGGCAGAAGAAACAAAGTGTCCTTAAAGAATAAGACCATCATGATTCAGATGGTGCTGCTTGAAATCATCACTTATGCATGCAGCAGTAGCTTGGGGCTACATTTCCTAAACGTTGAAGAAGAGGCTCCAAGCTCAACAGAATATAGCGCTCCGTGAGGCGGTGGACGCACCGTGGTATGTACCTAACAGAGTGCTATATGACGAACTACGACAGGTACCGGTCGTAATCCAGATGAGAGAGAGGACCCGAAAGTTCTTCGAAAAGAACGAAAGACATGGAAATGTGCTGATTAAAGATGCCTTGGACTACGACCCAAGAACAATAAGGCGTCATAAAAGACCGAAAAGCCAGCTGCAACAAGAAGAAATTTGGCCCTAGCAGCTGATGTGGCCAAAGAAAAGGGGCGAAGACCGACAATAGCTGTACACCCAAGAGGGGAAAGAACAGCCCGTGTACAATGGGTGGACAAAAAGAAGCCTGTCGATTGAGGTGGCCAGAGTCAAGCACGAACTCGGGGCTAGCCTCAGGAGACGAAGACAAACAGCAAATGACTGACTGACGACTGACTGACTGACTCCAGTCGACGAGGAAAGAGCGAAGGCTCACCAACCTTAATGCGGGGCTTAGGTCAAAGCCCCCAGCGCAGGACCCCCAAGAAAGAGCCTGTCCATAAAAGTTGAGAACCGACAGTTGGATGAAACGTCCACCACGTGCTTCCGCGGCGCGTACACGATCGAGTCAAATTTCGGGAAAAAGGGGCAAAATTGGGGAGGGGGGTTAGCTCGCTCGGCAGCACACATTGGGGGAATGCGCAGCGGCCTGTACCACGCAGCGCCACCCCAGGCTTTTGGGAGGGAGAGGAGGGAGCAGCAGATTGCTCTTCCCCCCACTCCTCAAGGGTTTGAGGTTGCCTGGAACAGGGGTGGTGGAGGGACCGCACAGGGTAGGAGGGCTTGTGTTTGACGGTAAAGAACGCCTGATGTTCTGTAGTAAGCCAGAAAAATTAGCTCTATACACGTGTTGAGCATAAAAGGAGTTAGACCGAAGCAGAGTTTTCCGCTCGGCAGTCAAGTAAATTAAATATTTAACTTTCTGTAATTTTATTTATGCCTTCAAAGAATTGATCAAGCAAGCTTTTGTACATCAAGGACAAAAATCAATAATCTAGTTTGATTGACCTGTTACTTACCTGTGAGGGGAAAAAATGGCTTTGTATTTAATCGTAATGGATATGTTGTTGTATCGTAAAAAATATGTCCTTTTTTAAATTATCTACACTACAGGTAAGCAGTGATACTGTTATTTCAAATAAAATACCCAGTAATGGCTGCCATATACCTGTAAGTCTGTTGTACTAGGTTTGATCCATGATTCGAGCAGGCGGATACTCCTTTTTGATTGTTCGCAAATTCTTGTTCTTGATAGATAGAATTTACATCTGGATCGCAAATTTTGTGCCTGGTTCAACTAAAAAATTCGTTGTGGTGTATGTATATGAAGCATTTCTTCATTTAATGAGGTAAATACGGTCCCATCTTACACAGGTCGTATAATTTTTCTCTGGTTTAAGAGACATTTTACAAGAAATTGACCATTTTTGTCAAATACTTTGAAAACGCCTCCTCATTGGTCGAGTTTGTGCCATAGGCGCAAAATTTTGCACACATATTAGTAAAATTGAGTTCAATAAACAATTTCTGTAGTGACCAATATGGTCAATAAGGTGGTAGTCGATTATAGGTCCTCGGCACTTACGTGTATGAAAATCCTCCAAAGCCATTGTTGTCAAAGTCGTATCTCAAAATGCTGGGTACGGCTCCGGCCAGGCGCTGCAATGACTTCAGCTGGGGCCTGGCTTGGACAATGCCCACCAGGACACAAAGAGCTAATACCTGTGAAGCACCGAAAGATATCAGTCTAGGTTGAATACAGCTTAAAATATAATTATGTTAATAGTTTCATAATAAAGCCCAACAGGCATTTTAAGCTACAATAACGTAAATGCGATCACGAAATAGGTTAAAAAGTTTGTATGACCAATTTAAAAAACGTTATATTTGAAGGGTACCGGGGAATAACGACAAGAGTCCATCCGGATTTTGAGAAAGTCGGTAATTAAGGTTTACTTACTTGTTGGAAAGGAAAATTGATGAAAAAATAAGTCGTAAAGGATATCTTTGCTAAACAGTGTGTTTATTGGTAAAATAGGTTTTACAAAATGAACTTTTACTCAAAACTAGTAACGTAAAAAACAAAAGATGATGTTCAACTCTGGACTCGTGCCACTTTTCCCCTGTTTTAAGCGTCTCTTGGCGGGTCATGGACATATTCGTCACTGCTGTCTTCTGGATGATCAAGAGATATTAACTGTTGATAGAATGCCCTGGAATCTGCTCTCTCTAGAAATTTGGTCAGATGTTTCCATTTCTTACTTTTAATTGGGATTTGGCTCTGGTAAAGGTTTCTCAATGTTTCCTCTTCTCGTTTTTGTTGATCTTTTTGCATCTTTTTTATATTCTTCCGAATTACCTTATCAAATTTAGAACTAGCATATAGGCCCATGTATGTCGATTTGTGAAAAACTACGCGAGGATTCTGTTTACAAAACTTGAGCATCCTGACTGGTTGGATAAAACGGCGATAAAACCGTACGCCAATCTTGAAAATCAAAATTTTTGCCACAATAAATGACTTCAAATGGTGTAGGTTTCACATGGCAATTTTTCAATTCATCTCTCCCGTCATCCGATACCTCAGTATATGCTCTTTGGTGGTTCACGAGACTCATATCTCTCTCACACTCGAGGTATGAATGCCCCCTGATCGGGAATGTTACGACGAGTAAAACGACTTTTCTTGGTAACCAGGTAATGCAAAAAACGAATAACTGTAAAGTTTTTATTTTGCCCTGCACAAGAACCACAGAAAATGGCAAGTTCTTTTACTTCCATAGGAAGTGATACAGCATAGAACAGACATCGTCAGCTCCTTTCTTAGCAATAGATTCATCCTAGGTATAAAAGGTGGAATTTGAGTTTGTCAGAATGCGGATGTTAAAACTGATGAAATTTAGTTGCCGCTTATATAAACATCATTTGTCGTTATATTTGGATAGGGCAAGTTTTTCTGGTAATCCATCGTGATACTTTCGATAGCGAGGAACTTCCAGGCACGTTTGCGGTAAGTTCTCTTTACGCTGTAAAATCGTTCATTCTTTTGTTGATGTAGTGTCTTCTCAAGTATCTTTTTCTCCAAATTATTACTTGCTGACTGCCTAGTTTGTTCCGTGTGGGAATTTAAGGTAGCGGTAAGTGAAGATATATCAGCTCTTAAGGAATGACACGTACTACAAGTGTCTTTTCGTGGATTGAAGTTGTTTTCAAAGATTTTTCGGAAGGATTCATAGAAAATCTTGTACTCAACATTGCCAATAGAATACTTACATTTTGTGTAATTTTGCGATATTTAGATTTTCAGGTAGGTAAACTTTTTGCGAATCTGCCAAAGAATAATGAGATTTGCGGCATTTGGGGCTCTTAATAAACTAGGTCGAACTGTAATTTTGTGTAAAGACAAAGACGCCTTAAGACAAACTGGAACATCACGTATAATTCCATTCCCAACAAATTGGACACGATAACTAAATGAAGCATCATTATGCCTTGACTCTGTTTCATTTTTTCGAGGTCGTCTACGCATGACGGAAAGAACAGTGAGAAGACCACTAAGATAAGCGTTTTGTGCAATAGTGTTTCCTAGTTCATTAAATTCACGAAGAAGTTTACAGCGTTCAGGTTCAGGAACAGTAGTAAAACAGCGAAAACGTCCACAAAAACAATCAGATCCAAGTTTGTGGGTAGTGGCGCGCAACGTTTTCATTACGTCTCTTTATCTTCCTGTTTTTTTGCGTTTTTTTCGTTTCTCTGTTTGATGGACCTGGTTCATTTTCACTTGAAACTGAATAGTCACTATCCATTATACATAAAACCCGTATTATAAATTAAATTAGCGAATATAGTCAATATTCAAAATATCAGCGTTTACAACACACGTGGACTCTAATATTTAACTAATGGCTGATGCAATAACGAAGCGCCCAAGCGGTACGGCCGATACAACGCCGCCTTTCCATATGGACTGATGCCGTTTTTCCATACACACAAATAATGAACTAATGCCGCTTTTCCCGGTACCCTTCATTTACGTTCAAGCATTTGCCTTTTTCCCAAAGTAGGAAATAATTTAGAAGTCAATATTAGGTCTGTAAGACAGTTATTACTGATAGGTCGATGATTATAAACAACTATTTAGGCGATCTTGTGATAAGATCGTAGTTATTTTTCCCGATAAAATCGTCTGACCTAGATTTAGCAACAAACAAAACTCTCTCTCGCTCATACACACAGTTGGTAACCTGTTGGTTAAAAATAAGGTTAGCTGTTGATGCACTTGTCCATAGCCAAGTGTGTCAAAGTTATGGCTTCCATTTGTGGTAGTGATTATAATTTATTGACCTCGTAATTATATTTTCGGACACAAGTGAACCAAGAATCTCTTATAAATAAGCTACATGAATGAATTTTGTTAACAGTTTTCACGAGATACTCTGATAGCAGCATAACCTCAAAATTATAAGAACGCCTTGTCTTAAGGCGCGAAGTTTTGAATGATGTGAAAAGTAATGTGTTTTGGGGTGGCTTAGGTATTTTTGGATGAAGTAACATAATACGTAAACAATAAAACAATGTTCATGTTTTAATATTAATAAGAGAATATATCCAATATGACTGCTTACACAGTTTCTCCATGTAGCGATTTTTCATCAATTCTAACCAATAATACATCTTCACCATGATGCAGGTCAACATACTTGATAGTTGAGCTTACCCTATCTCAGACCTAATAATTATTAAGAAGTCAAACTCCAAATCAAGGTGAAACTAGGTAATAATCTCCATTTTTCGTCAATTGATTTGATATTAAATAATTTTCAGATTGACGTATCTATACTGTACCTATCCCACTTCGAATTGCGTGTATGTGATAGGAAAAAATTCCTGTTAGGGATAATCTTCTCTTTTTAAATAACAGTCGTTGCCTAATCCAGAGAGAGGGGAGAGAGATGGACGTGACGGGGTCGCGCTTGGTGTTAGATTTTGATAGTTCTCTGGTTTATACGCCTTTATACTGTACGGTTTTTTGGAATCCCGTATTCAGCTGGTTCGAGAGAAGAAATGTGTAGGTTGTGTAAACATCACAGAGAAGACAAAAATCACTTCAAAATTACTTTCTGTATTACATGCTCAAAATAGTGAGCGGAACGCATCATTACTACAACTGGGTCTGAGTCTCTTTTAAAAACCTGGTAGTATTGTGACGTACGTAAGGTCTCTTTCAATTAAAATTTTCAGACATTCTAAATTATATCTAAATATCACTGAAGATACTAGCACGCATAGGCAAGCATCATGTCAACTAAAATAACCGACAAACAAACAGTCATCAAAGACCAGTAAGTGGAGAGGCCAACCAAATTGCCATGGAAGGCACTATAACTACTTGCAAGTAATTTTAACTTCAGTTAACACACTTCTGCTTACGAGTTCGTGAAACAAAAAAATTTTCCTTCAAAGTTATTGACAACATCAATATCTAGACGAAGATCTACTAAAAGGATCCATGTAAACTCTAGGTTTATTTAGTAGACAGATTGACAAGTTTTTTATCAATCTATTTCCAGGAATCTTTGCTTGATATTATGCTTATGCTTATGCTCAAAAAGGAACCTAGCATAGATACTACATTTTAGGTTAACTTTAGTATTCGAGGTCAAGAACTCTTCGATTACTTTTTAGTGGCGTATTTTTTGTAGTTTTGAACTAATCAATTTCATCTCGTGGTCAAAGGTATACCAGGGCTCTAATTTGGTACATAGTTACCAATTTTCGATAGAGGATTCAATTCTCAAGACAATTCATCTTTTGAGAATGTCGCTAATACTGTATAACTCAAGGGCCCTTATATTCTTGGTACTATTGGTCGAACGGTATAAATGGCAACACCGACTCGGTGTTGCTCGTTTACTGGTTGACCAGTACCTAAATAGTGTTGCATATTATACTCCCCACGATACCACGGAATCGCCCTTTATATGGGGCACTGATAGCAGCTGTCTCGTTATTTCGATCCGGAAAATTTTTTAGACGAAAAGCGAGATAACCGAGGTATTTATTATGGAAACTGACCCAGGGGGGTCAGGAAATGGCGCTTCCACCATGGCAATGGAGATGGAGTCGAAGGAGCAGACCATAGAGGAGCTGAGAGCCGAATTGGAGATGGTTCGACAGGAGCTGTCAAAAAAGGACGATGATAAGAAGACCAATGAAAGATTGATGATGATCATCGAAGCCCAGCAGCGGACAATTACCGACCTAACAGTTAAATTAGACCTCCTACTGAAAACCCAGGTACCTTCCCATCTAAATATTACAAATTCTTCCCAAACACTTCTCAAAAATCCCAGTAAAGACAAAGCTGTCAATCTTAAGAGACCGTTAAATAATTCAAGCGATCTTTCCACAGACGACGATACACTCCCTGACGGTTTTACCAAGGTTAAGCCCCGTAAAACGCGACGAAACAAGACCGACACGACAGGCTTTCCTCCTCTCCCTCCACCAAAATCGCAGTCTGAAACGTCTCATTCAACTGCAAGCGACTCGAATAAACAGCCTGTGCCTAATCTATCGGTTACATCCACGCCTTCGACATCTCAGGTACCAGAAGACACGACTGCACAGCCCCCACGCAAGGTACGTGTTACCCCCATCGTTCTTCGCGATGCTTCGAGATGGCGAGGCGTAAATCACAAGTTTATTTCTTTGGGCATCAA